TACATATATATATATATATATATATATATATATATATATATATATATATATATATATATATATATATATATATATATATATATATATATATATATATATATATATATATATATATATATATACATATATATACATATATATATATATATATGTATATATATAGCCTGCATAGAAATGTATATTGGTTAGGATTGGGCCACAGACTAGATTAGTTCGGATGAACTACCTCTGTGGTCCACACCAAGAAATTATTATTATTATTATTATTATAAGATTACTAGAATTGTTATTATTATTGGTGAAATAAAAATAAATCAAAATAAATCAAAATTATGAACTCATTTTACCATATGAAATTGTGATGATTACATTACTTTGGCAGAAGTATTGAAATGAAAACGATTGCCGTTGTACTCAATTTGAACAAATTGTATTTGAAACAGATTGTACTTGAAAAGTATAACACATGAAAAAAAACGTTGCTCATGTCAATACCAAGTTTGAATGAAATTGGTGGAATGACTTAGGCACGTATTTAATGTTTAATGTTGTTTATTCGGACGAAAATCGCTTCCAGAAACAAAACAAAACGATAAATAAAATCGGAGTGCATAAGTATACTATTATATTGTGTCCTTATACTAACTCTAAATGTAAGGATGCATGAATGAATGAACAAACGAGCAGAACCCAAAACATAAGTCTTTTGATCGACGGTGTGCTATTATGAGTTACGGATTACGGATATGGGGAAATGTTCCACCGGTGTTTTTGTATAGTAACATTGCAATCAGTACACACCTTGATTTGTTCCTAATGTATGGTCAAATTTCGGTCCTGTATGATAAGTGGGAGTGTCTCCTTTCCTTCTGATCCAATCAAAATCGTCGCCCTCAATATCCTGTCTCCAGGAGCACAAATCTTTCTCAAAGGTGCAATCGTAATCTGCAGACAAAGAAGTGACATTAATTGTTGTTAACACGGAATAGGTGTCGCCATACGATACTGGTAAGTTACTCACCGTAAGATGCACACGAAACATCTTCTAGCGCCGTATCATCAATAGCAATATCACCAATACTGCCACCTTTTGTTGCTTCGAATATAATCTGTAAAACATATCAATGATTTTGCTTAACATTTCATGCTAGCCATTATAACTCATAACCATTGAATTAATAACTACACCCAACTTAATCAGTATGTGGACCACAATTATATGAAACTGGAGTTGTATATTGTGATGTATAATATACATTATTGAATTAAATGCATCATTATTATATAAGAGCGTTGTGATGTCACTGACACTGAAATAAATTCCATAACAGCTATGATGTAGCATAATACTGATTATGAGGTTATTACGAAGATGCCGAAAAGTATGCGCGAAGACAGTACAGCGGAAATATCGACCGACGGGCAGCGGAGATCGATGCGACGGCGTACTGTCCGTGTGCATACTTATAACCTTATTAGTATACATCTTTTCCTCCCAAGGATACATCATAGTAATGCCGAAATCCACAAAGTTAAGAACAGAATCAGCGGACTTCTTTGTGTGGAGTCTGGCCAAACCCTGGTGGTAGCCATGTTTGTTTTTATTATTAAAGGACGCTTACGTGCGTATTCATTCCATATTTGGAATTTGTATTTCCTAATATGGTAGAATGAAAGTACCCCGTAAAATACTGCAAAATTACGCACGCTGTAACTTATGGCGCTAAGGTGACAGATGTACAATAATATATATTAAACTTTTTGGATTTCGACATCCTTGTATGGTATCCTTGGGAGGAAAAGATGTATACTAATAAGGTTATTACGAGGATACCTCAAAGTATGCACTAGGACAGTATGCTGCGCGTCGGTCGATACTCCCGCTGTACTGTCTTCGTGCATATTTTGTGGTATCCTCGTGGTAACCTTATATTATTTCCTAATAATATATAGAGATTACCCAGAATTCCTCTGTTGAGTTCACTGTTATCCGCCCTTGATGCCACTGCTCTCCATGGTCACCTGACGTACTCCATAGTAAAGACATTGGCACATTGCTTGATTCAAAATACACATTCAACGTTGCAATAGTGCTGCCAGACATATGGTACCAAAATATGAAACATTTACCTACAAAAACAAATAAATTACAAATTCCTTTCGTTCGACAAACTCCTGAAATATACACACCACTGAAAGGGAATATACTGTTTTTGGATTGCTCGTTAGTGGTGTACTCATAGTTGTTTTAACCTAAATGTTTTTGCTTTTATCTTGTCAGTCCACTTAGAAGTTATCTTGTGTGATCTTGCTATGTAGGCGTTTGTACATGCTATGAACACGCCCAAAACGAATTTGTAACCAAAATGGATGGTTAAAAGTTTAAGAAAATGTGCAGACAGTCTGGTAAGGGTTTTGATATGTATGCACCAACATACTACATATGTTGTTAGATCAGTTCAAAGATTTCTTATGCGCGTTTATTCTAGAAATATAAAGATTTATACTGTTTACCAGGAACGTGTTCATAGTTGTAAGGATCACACCCAACTAAGTCCTCGCCAAAACGTTGACCTCAACATCATTTATATTCATATCATAATAATGTTAAATCAGTCGTTGTCACATGATATCGAACACAATTTGTCCATTCAGTTTCAATGCATTTTTGGGAATAATGATAAAAACAACTACCATGCTTGATATATTTCTTCTTGTTTATTTATTCCAAAAGTTCAATTGGCGGAAAACAATCTAGCACTTCTCTTCCATAGTTATTTATGCGTGATGCAATTGGGGCTTTTATAAACAGAATTTTCGGGGAAGGAATTGATGCATAATTATGAATCATTAAATTAGTAGAAGTGAAAAAATACCCAGTAGCATCTAGTACACTTGGGGATTAAGTCACTTACTCGATGTAGGTTGTAAGTGTTCGCTCACAAGCCATGCCCTGGCATGAACATCTCCATAGTCTGTTTCAATAAACATATAATATCCTGCAAAAAATGTTTAAAAAAAATATTATGTAAGGAAATAGAAATAGCTATTCAAAATATTGCAATGTATGTCATTTACCTTTCGGTGTCCCCAATGTATGGTCTTTCGTAGGACCAGTATTACTTGTAGGAGAAGAACCAGCATTCCTCAGCCAATCATAGTTGTCATCTCTCACCAACTCATTAGTCCAACCACATGTATCAGTCTCAAAATCACACCAGCCTTCTGGTTGACAAGGAATGTCGTCCACTAATATATCATCAATGGCTATATCTCCCTGGGCACCATCGCCAACAACACCTTCAAAGGAGATCTAGAAGAAAATTACGAGATGTGATAAATGATATTATATTGTATTCAGTGCGTATTGCATTGTATTGAGAGGAACGCTACGGCTTACTCACCCAATAAGGAAGACCGTTCGGGTCTATTGGCAAATGCACGGTTCCTCTGCGCCACATATCATCTTGGTTTCCTAATCGTGACCAGATTGCCGGAGATTGTTCGTGATTTACATTAGTTTGATAAACATGAAGTGAGCCGATATCCTGCCCATACATATGATACCAGAATTTCAAGCACCGGTGAATGCCTGAATTAAACTCCGTGGTCGTCAACACTGCAGTGTGTCCTATTGTAGCTGACGTTGTTTCAATATAGGCGAAGTGACCTAAAGAACAGACAAAGCAATTTCCAAACGTTATAGAACAGTATGTTACAAAATCATTTTCTCATTGGAAGTTCAGTACTAATTAGTGTCCAACTGAGTTGCCTACAGTTGCATGCCTCTTTTGAACAATGAATCCCGCTTTGATTTTTTGAGGTTAGGAAATCCAGACCATTCTCATCTGCAAAATTAATTATGAACGCGTTTAATAGCATAATGCATAATCACTAAGTCGATTTGTTCGTAAATTCAAGTTTTTGGTATTTCGTGGTATTATAATTGAAAAGCAGAACATCAAAGATATCGTGAAAGCGTAGTGGTATTTGACATTGTAGGTTGTAGTAAAACTCACCTGTTTCCGTTCCAGTTGTATGATCGATTTGTGGTCCAGTCCCTTCAGTATCAGTACCATTGCCACCTAGCAACCAATCTAAGTTATCATTTTCCACGTTAGTCCATCCACAAATGTCGAACTCAAAATCACATTCCTCTGTTCGGCAATAGAGAGAAAATATAGTCAGAAAACGTAATCGGCGATTTAGCACTTGTTGTCAATTCATATACCTGAAATCACGACAGATACTTACTGTGTGGGGGACATGATCCTGTATGAACAAACAAATCATCTATAGCAATGTCACTTCTTGTATGTGTTATCCCTGTTACTTCAAATATGACTTCAAAAGTCGATGTCATATACAAATCTCGCTGCGCATATCTCCATTCGTTCGCCTGAGTGCCCGTACGTGCCCAAATCTAGGGAGATATTCATTATTATTAACTACATTTACTGCAGTGATGTTTTGTCATTTATAAGCCGATTGAAGTGTATGTCATTATCGCACGTTTGGAGTTCAGCGTATTAAAGCATAATTCTCGTAGTTCAAAATAAGTTATACCATCAGCATAACCATGTGGAATAGATGACGTGGCCTCGTACCTTTGTTTCTATGCCATATGCATCTCTTACATATACGTTCAGATCACCCACAACACTGCCAAACATGTGATACCAAAACTGTAGACAAAATCCCGCACTGGTTGTCGGTGGTAATATATCAGATATCAGCCTGCCTCGTTCGTGGCCCTCAACTGAATTGGCCTCCACATACAGGTAATAACCTTTCAGTTAGATATAAATTATGTTACATTATAAAATTATATAAATATTTATTACATACCCCCATTTATTTAGATACTCAACCAGTTGTGTGTGATTGTTTATGACAATAGCATACAATAACAAACATGGATTGTTGGTGTACCGGTATGACTTAAAGTTGTTTCTAAAGTAACTTCATATACTTGACCAAGGCACGCAAACAGTGTCAACATACCTTTGTTTGTTCCTAAAGTATGGTCTATCTTAGGCCCTGTGTGATATGTTGGGGTGTCGCCATTCCTTCTGGTCCAATTAAAATCGTCATCTTCAACATCCTGTCTCCAGATGCACAGATCAGTCTCAAAAGTGCAATCGTATTCTACGAACCAAAAAAATGAAATTGCATCAACAATCATTACATTTGAGTGTGTGATTGTCATAATAACACTATAGTAGCATACTCACGGTTAGATGAACATGGATCAGTTTGTAATGACGTATCATCCACAGCGATATCTCCAGACATGCCCCCTTTGGTTGATTCAAATATAATCTGAGGAAAAAAACATTCATTTACCTTCGATTGTACCAATTGTAATACCACTGAATTGCAATTTCATATACGAATAAGACATTTCCACCGTGAAAATTGCAAAATATTCTCTTTTTAGACAAATATATAAAATGAGTGGTTCATGAATACAGATTATTACCCAGAACTCCTCTGTTGAGTTTACTGTTATCTGTCCAGGGTGCCACTCCTCTTCATGGTCACCTGACGTACTCCATCGTAATGACATTGGCACATTGGCTGATTCAAAATACACGTTCAACGTTGCAATGGTGCTACCAAACATATGGTACCAAAACTGGAAGCATTCACCTATGCCATAAAAACAAATGGATATAAAATTGCTAGACTTCGAGTTACACAGCAAAACACATGTTTGGGTCGATGTGATAATAAGATATGGTCTCAAGACATATAGAAGCTGAATGTCTAAATAAATTACCTAAAACAAAAGCTAGAAAAGAAAATGTAGATATATTGATGTACTCCCATCAACAATCCTAAATTTAGTGTTTATATTCCAATAGTATATGCAACTGAACTTATAAGAGTACGAAATCTGCTTCGCCCGCTTCAAAATTGAGCCTAACTGATAGAATTCTATTTCTGCCAGACTTTATGACAATTTTCAGTTGAGTCGAAACATATATACAAGGCCGAATTTGATACCCCTAAGACAACCTATCGACAAACAATCTTTTTGATTGGTCAGACTGCTGGGTGTTATGGTTAGTTAGCTAATCAGACACAATCTTGTAAGTAACTTCACATTGAAGTTACATCTTTACAACAATATTCCAGTTTTTCCCATCTGGTATGCATTTCCCATCCCATTTTCTTTGACCGACATGTAGTACATTTGCAGAGATTATTTGTTACATCCAAACTATTAAACCAATTTTTTAAAGGATTAGTAGAGAACGACTATCCTAAATATTCAAAAGGTTGTTTTGGCAGATTTAGTAAGCTTCTGGTTAATTGTGATAGCATTATTACAATTAGGACCCGGAATGATACATAGTGGGTGCTCTTGTGGATCAGAATGTGCTCACTACTTTCGAAACTCCTGAAATTACCCCTTGTTTTCCTAGAGTATACAATTGGCTTGACTATTTTGTTATATAATGTATTATGTTTTGGTTGTAGTTGTCTTGTTTCATGAATTCTTAGGTATGTTATTTTCAGAATAGTTAGTAAATAAAAGTGTTTTTTTCGACATGACATAAGGTCTACTCGACAGTACTTACCTGTTGTAGGTTGCAAATGTTCACTCACGAGCCATGCCTTGGCATGAAGATCGCCATCGTCTGTTTCGATATACATATAATACCCTGGAAAACACAACAAAATATACTGCTGTATTCACCGTCTTCTTGGGAGTAAGGTGATAATAAATACGTGCCACAAATCAGAATAACATTATTCACCTTTCTGATTATCTAATGTGTGGTCTTTCTTCGGACCTGTTTTTGATGTTGGAGAGGTACCAGCATTCCGTACCCAATCATAGTTGTCATCCCTTACCAACTCATTAGTCCAACCACATGTATCAGTGTCAAAATCACACCACCCTTCTGGTTGACAAGGAATGTCATCCACTAATATATCATCCATGGCTATGTCTCCCTTGGAACCATCGCCAACAACACCTCTGAACAGGATCTGGAAATGTTTTGTGACAAGCATATTGAGACATAACACCCTTAAAATGTACATTCTCAGAATAAAAAAAAACATAGCAATAAAGAAAACGAAAAAAACGAACAATATATGGCTTCTGTCAAAGATCAAAAGGACATATATATTATAGACTGTATAGACTAGTTTGAAGACAGTGATAAAAACTAGAGATGGATACATTCAAAGAATAAGACATGGGAACAGTGAAAAATCAAGACATTACTTCAGTGAAACATCAAGATATGGATGCAGTCAAAGATACCAACATGGCAACATTAAAAGATCCAGCCATAGCGAATAAATACCACAGTGAACTAACCAGAGTGCAACCTCAGTTAATAACACTTCTGTGAAAAATCATTATAATGTAAACTTTAATTTTAAAAAAAATATTAATAAATAAATGATATACATCTGAATAAAGGATTATTTGACAAGACGATAAACAATTGGAACTAACCAAATAATGTTACCTTATAGTTATTTCCCGTGCCTTCAATTGGCAATGGAACACTACCTCTACGCCACATGTCTTGCTGGTTCCCTGACCTTGACCAGATAGGTCTAATAAATGGATTTCCGATATCGATTTGAAATACATGCAGCGATCCAATGTCTTCGCCGTACATGTGATACCAGAATCGTAGGCAACGATCGATGTTGGACGTGAATTCTACTGTTGTTAACTCGGCTGTGTGATTTTGCATAGCTGATGACGTATTGATGTACACAAAGTGACCTAAGATGAACAAAGAAACGTTAAATATAATTCAATTGCATAAATGGTATTAGAATTGCACATTTCGTTATCTAGATTACTATCGAGGATTACAATTGACGTTTAATTAACTGAAGGGAGCCTACAGATTTATGTATCAACCATACCTGATTCTGTTCCTGTCGTGTGATCGATTGTTGGTCCAGTGCCTTCAGTGTTAGTACCGTTGCTTCCTCTAAGCCAGGACAATTCGTCATCCATCACATTAGTCCACCCACAAAAGTCATATTCAAAATCACACCCTCCTATTCGGAGTAATAATAGGAAATGCACAATCAACTGTTTTTGTACATGATTGTGAAATGAATAGTTATAGATTTCGGCAATACTTTCACTCACTAATGGCGTCACAAGTTATTAGTTATTCATGTGATTGTTAATGTAAAGCCCGTCACAATCAGGCAGATGAATTCCTGAATAATAGGAATCAATTTTCTTACGGTGTGGAGGACATGTCCCTTCAAGCACAGACAAATCGTCTATAGCAATGTCACTCCTCTTATGTGTTATCCTGGTAGCTTCGAATATAATTTCATAAGTTGATGTAATATGCAAATCACGTTGACCATATCTCCACTCGTCTGCCTGTGTGCCCGTACGAGTCCAGATCTATTATGAATTTAAATGGATTTTTGAAGATGACTAAATAATAGTAGACACAATTTAATAGCACATTATTAATTGTGGCCGGGATTTCGGCTTACTAAATAGTTATACTCTTACTGCAGATATCAATGCTTCGGTGGTAGTTTTAGATATAGTTAAAGCAAATAACATGTACAGTAAGGATGATATATATATTTAAAGTATTCGGTGAAAGGCCAATGAAAAGTATGGTTGAAACTCGTGACAATCGTTTTAGTATGCGTTCGTTTAGTAACCGCCATTTCGTCATGATTTTGCGAGTAATAAAATTAGATCGCTATCACTATCCACATTCACACCAAAAATTTCGACCTGGAATTTATCATTTCCTGATTAGCCATAAACCTGAACTCGTATTTAGTTAGTAAATTAACATGGCGTTTGCGATTTTTGGGTCGTGTATATTTAATTCAATCAGTCCTCAATACGTTTAACCGAACAGAACTCAATATATTAAAGCGGGAGAATCGCCATCTGCGCATGCGTCAGATGGCCATAGCGTGTCATTGTTTACAAACAAGCGTCTACCCATGAGCGTTTTAGCGTGTGTTGTTATCGTCGCTTGGGACTCAATTCCCGCGCGTGCGCAGGTGACGACCCTCCCGCTATTTTGTGACAAATCACATATCCACGATATTCATATTGTGACATAAGTGATAATGCATTCATATGTTTCTGTACCTTTGATTCTAAGCCGTTTGCTTCTCTTACATAAACATTTAGATCGCCAACACGACCACCAAACATGTGATACCAGAACGTTAAACAGTAAGTCGAACTTGGTATTGGGGGCAATGGGGTTGATATCAGCCTCCCTCTCTCATGGTCGTCACGTGAGTCTGCCTCAATAAATAAATAATAACCTTGAAAAACGAAATGAGGTTTAGTTAGTCAGTCAGTTGCTGTCATCAATGCTCTGTAGCGTGCAATTGATAGTATAATAGGTATTAATAGGTTGATCTACAATTATACCTTCATTTGTCCCGAGTGTGTGGTCAATAGTTGGTCCTGTATGGGATGTAGGCGTATCGCCTTGGTTGCGTTTCCAGTTAAAATCATCCGTGATCTTATCCTGTCTCCAACTACATAGATCTTCCTCAAACGTACAATTGTAGGCTGCGAAAACATAAGTCTCAAAATCTGTTTTCAACAGAACAGCAACGACAAAATGTATTTTCAAATATATGGCAAATATATGTCAAATCTTGTACTTACAGTTGGTGGTGCTTATGACACATGCACCGTCATACAACTCAGTGTCGTCTATGGCAATATCACCTGTATCGCCGTCGCCTTTGATTGCTTCAAATATGACCTTTATGGAAAATAAAACATAAATATTTGACAGTGCGGTTCCCACATTTGCATTAGAATACGAAAACACTTATCATTCTGTCATGAGCTAAAAATAATATGCTCCTTACCCAGTATTCTTCTGTCGAGTTGACTGTTATTTGCCCAGCATACCAATCTTCCCCACGATCGCCCGAAGAGCTCCATCGTAGATTGAGGGGTATATTGCCAGACTCGAAATATACGTTCAAAGTTCCAATGGTATGACCGAACATATGGTACCAGAACTTGAAACATTTAGCCTCTGAATGAAAGAATATCTACTGTCACTCACATTTAAATAAGTATTTACTATTATGGGCAACTTCGAATAACACTGGGCGAACTCACCTGAAGTGGGCGGGAGATGTTCGCTTACTAGCCACGCCCTGTCTTCAGTGCCACCGCTGCTTGTTTCAATGAACATGAAGTAACCTAGCGTAGAAAAATATAATTCAAATCATTGCAAATATTACAGAAATGTTGCTATATTTCCAGTTGTAATTATTAATTGAATAATACATTATTGACAGTCAAAGAGCAATAGATACAGGGACTAGTGGTGATATAGAGAAGAAATGCACAGGAGATATAAATGTAAGTGGTCAGTTTTAAGTGACATGTTCAATTGTTAAACAGTAATGTAAATGTTGGGAAAGATATTCAGCATGTTCACTGCAACTAGTGTTATTTCAAATTGTGTCAACTTTTGTGTCAGCTTGTATATAGGTATGAGGTGTGATCGGTTTTCAAAATGATAGGCGTGTCACTAATGTTATTTAAGTTTTATTTTTACGGCAAACGTTGAATTAAATTGTATCAATCATCGAAAGAAACACGCAGCTAATTAGTAGTGTGAACTTATTATTGTTGTTTTTTCATTGTTTCCAAATAACAAATTGACATGCATATTTCTCTCCTTAATTCATTGTACAAACACAATCGGTACATCCGATAAATAATGTCGGGTGGACAGAATATGAGAGAAAACAATGAATATAAACAGATTAAGAAAATACTAACCACTGCCTGTTCCAAGTGTATGATCCACTTTCGGTCCAGTTGCATATGTGGATGTAGTGCCTGCATTCCTCAACCAATCATATTCGTCATCCCTTTCTCGTTCATTTGTCCACCCACATGTGTCTCTTTCAAAACTACACCATCCTTCTGGTTGGCATGAAGAATCGTCAACCAGCGCATCGTCTATCGCAATGTCGCCTTGTCCACCGCCACCTACGATGCCTTGAAATACTATCTGAGAATGGAGAAACGCAATTTCTTAACAACCGCAAGGTACAGGACATCATCCAATATCCAATTACTACACAATTACAATACATTGAACTTCATGAGACCTTGATGTATAATTTGGTTTTACAGAACGAATTCAAAGTGGTCGACTTTCGGCCATTTTATTTGTTTCGGAGCCACAGCTGATTTATCTAACTCACAATGTAGTTGTTGATAGTTGATCCAGCAGGCAGGGGAACACTTCCTCGTCGCCAGATATTCCCTTGGTTTCCTGATCTTGACCAGATTGGACTCAGAAATATGTTTCCGATATCATTTTGATGAACTTCTAGCGATCCAACATCTTCTCCATACATGTGATACCAAAATGTCAAACATCGATCAACATTAGGTGTGAATTGTGTTGTTGATAACGTTGCGTAATGGCCCACCATTGCTGATGACGTATCAATGTAAGCAAATTGTCCTACAATTGTACGATAACACACCTGTTAAATTGTATATACTAGTAGTTGTCATGGTGTAGATATAAAAATGTATTAGTCTCTGAATATTACATTTTTAGCGATATTTCATAACTACTGATATCCGTGCGTCTCTGCCTTATGCAATAAATGTACACATGAATGTGGTTTTATCACTAGAGTGAGTGTGACAAATTACAAATTACCTGTAGCTGTGCCTGTAGTATGATCATAGGTTGGACCAGTCCCATCAGTCTCAGTGCCATTGCTTCCAAGTAACCAATCTAAGGTGTCATTCCATGTGTTATTCCACCCACAAAAATCATACTCAAAGTCGCATTCGTCTGAATACAAATTAGGAAATGAGTTGACACCAGTTTCTTTAAAACAGTGAGATGTGTAAATCTGTCATCCATATAAATAATTTAACATATATATTATGAATAATTCACGAAAAGAAAATATAAAACTGATTACGATGTGGGGGGCATGCTCCATTCGTCACAGACAAGTCATCAATTGCGATGTCACTTCGTTTATGCGTTATCCTACTGGCTTCAAATATAATTTCATATTCAGTAGTTATATGTAGATCGCGTTGACCATGTCTCCATTCGTTCCCCTGTGTACCCATTCTTGTCCAGATCTGTTGAGAACCAGTTGACAGAACTCGTTATTTCAAAAGATGCCCATTTACTGTAAACTATAATGTATCTATTATATTAAGCCAAAGTTACAGTATCAACTAGCTGTATTGCAATATCGTGTTATTGCAATAGTTAGAGCCTACACATTACACTTAAATAGTCGATGTTCAGCCATTATGTAATACCATATCAAAGCACGGGATAACTAAGACTAGAGTAAGTGGGAAAATTAACTAAACTGATTTGTTCAACTTAAAACGGGGGAGTCGTCACCTACGCATGCGTCAAATGGCCATAGCGCTTCATTGTTTAAAATTTACAATTCCCGCGGGTGCGCAGGTGACGACCCTCCCGATTTAAGGATGTTACTATCCGCATCATACCTTATTTTCCGTGCCATGTGAATCTAATACATAGATATTCAGGTCACCTACATAACTCCCTAGCATATGATACCAGAACTGTAAACAGTGTCCGTCTACGGGGCTAGGGGGCAGTGATGACGATATGAGCCTGCCCCTATCGTGATCATCTACGGAGTTTGCTTCGACGAATAGATAGTAGCCTGGCAACACATCAGCATAAACAAATGCAACAGAGACAAAACAAAAACTATATTATTGTACGTAATCAGTCAGCTTGTCGTAACCGCATCTGCTCTATACGTGTATTAAACATATTTTAGATTTTAAGCTGCTCATGCCAGTGTCCAGTCTAATTTCATAGAACAAAACATCATTGGTACATAGTATGCATATTGTATTTGTGGTATCTCTAACTCGCTGCTAAACAGTTTAAAAAACAATTTGATTAAACAATTCGAAAGAAAAAAATATCACACTGCTGGTCAATTATTTTAAACTTAGCATAAAACATTGTCTAAATTATAATGCTAATAGGAATTAAGTGGATTTTTGAACCCTATAAATGAACTTTTTTTATGAAAATTAACGGATTTAGTCTGGATGCTGTATTACATCATAATAAGCCCATGGTTATTTCGCTATCAATGCGCACATACTGTAAAATAGCTCCGATACATTGCCACATGTATATATGGATTATGTCCATACCTTCACTTGTTCCCAAGGTGTGATCAACCCCTGGTCCTGTGTGTGATATCGGAGTATCCCCTTTCCATCTTGTCCAGTCAAAATCGTCTGTCACGTTGTCCTGTCTCCAGCCACACATCCCCTCTTCGAAAGTGCACAGATAATCTGCAAGAGCCAATTATTAGACAGTCACGAAAGATTCAGGCTAGTAACGTTTCCAGTAACGCCATCTTGAAACAAGTCATTACGTGTCACTGTAGAAATTATGAATATGCACGTGATGCGTGATATATACCACTTGGTGGCGCGCTCCAACAAATAACAGTAAATACCTACCACAATTGACCTCATCCGATCCAGTCGGACAATCTAATTGCCAGTTACACCGTTGAGAACCATCGATGACAGTGACGCCATCATCACAATAGAACGTTGAGGCCGTCGTTTGGGTTAAGCATTGTCCGTCCACGTATTCAATATCATCAATGGCAATGTCCGCAACCTCGCTACTTCCAGCAACGCCCTCTACGATGAACTGAAACAAATAAAATATGAATTCCCATAAAATGAATTAAATAGGTCAAATAACAGGCTTTTAGTATACTATTCCTTGTTAGTTCAAATACTGATGGCTGTTTAATAAGAGGGAGGTTAGGGGCATGATCGCGCACGGTGGACGCCATCATGAGGATGAAAATGTATACAAAATATGCCCCATTTGGCATTACATTCATGTACAAATATGTTACTCATGAAATACATAAACAGTTATTTTTTCAAATAACTTTCTAGAAATATTATTCAATATAAGTAAGCAAAATTGACCAGAGGCATGCATTGCGCCCTCTGTCGGTATTATGTTGTAACATATGGCTCGCCAGTAAGTTGTATTGTCGGAAACTTTTCGACGCCAGAAACTTATCGTACTCAATTTGGTATTATTATTATTATTATTTTAGAACGAAAACACTCATATAAAAATCCGTTAAACTCCACTTTTAAACGACGTTGATATGGGGCGCCACTAACTAAGTTAGTCAAACGAGGCATTCTTAACATTTACTATGGAAACAATAAATAAACTGAATGAAACATATTCATCGGAAATTTAAGCCCCAGCATACGTTGAAATATAGTTTGTATAAACACATTCAGAAGATTCTGGAAAAAAACCTTGTGGAAATGATTTATTTTATTTACAGATAAATTTTAAATAAATATTTATATTATCGACCAACACTAGGTCGAGGATGTCAAAATATGCGGCTGTCTATGTGTTTGTTTTGTCATGATATTAATGTTCATATTGTGATATACGCTATGTCAACTGTGTTGTTTTTTACGTGTCAAGAATTGCTTACACGAGTCAGCTAGTCATGTAAGTATTGACTGCAATACTATGTACGAGTTAAGGCTTCCGTGATTGCCGGATGGATTATCTCGCGAGAGCCCGTACAAACTTTGTTTGCTTTCTATCGTTGACCAGTCGAAGCTTAGTTCAAAAAATAAGTTAGAGGGCTTACAAGCGAAAAAACTATTACGATGCCTGTCCACGTATCTACAGAACTAGCCATTGTCATAATGTAAATGTAAATGTCCTCGAACATTTAAGTTGTTCTGGGAGATGTTGACACATCGTCACAATTTTAGGGTTGTTGTAGTGTTGATTATTTAAAGAACATTATACATATACACAACATATGCTACGAGTTACAAGACAGATCATTTGACAGATTGGGTAACGTGAGTGGAACACACTATTCCTATTAAGTTAATAACCATCACGAGTTTCCATGACGTAAATAGTGTGAGGACATCGTTTATAGAGTATTGTTTTTATTTGTGATCGGGTGACAAATTACTGAGGTGCACGACATTCTAAATAACGAGCGACAACATAACCAAACAAAAAAAGTCTATTGGAACGACCTCACTTACACCAATCGACGATATTCTGATGTGTTTCGTCGATAGAGGGTTCTTACCGATAAAGTTTCCGAGGCGTTGATCGCAATTTGTCCAAGAAACCAGTTCTCGGCCGTTGGGTTGTCATATATAGAGCTCCATATCATCGTCGTAGAGGTCGCTGTTTCATAATATACCTGTCATCAAATCAGAGAATATATTTGTGAGTGAACGTTTCACGAAACATACTGTAAGGTGTATGCTGTTTACGGGTTTTATTGTCTGATACATCACCAAATCTTTGATCTTATTATTAGTTCGTAGCTAATCGCCATGGTGTTAAACCTTCCGTGCTAATTGGTATCCGAATATTTATATTTCTGTCAGGTCAGATCAGATCACGATGAAATACTAAAAAATCTTTACAAATTTGCGCGTTTGAAGAGGTATAGACAATGATGACCCAATGGAACACGTGTATGACGTGTTAATCTCACAAACTGTGCATTTTCTCAGCAATCGCTATAAGTCACCGACTAAAGCAAATCTAGTTAGCAAGCTATGTGAGAATGTGAGTGTCACACAGCTTCGTATGAACGAAATAATAAATTACGAAATCTTACATTGATGTCCCCAGTACCAGAACCATTTCTGTAGTAATAAAAAGATAGGCAGGCATCTTGAGTGTCTACAGCAGACACTGTTTCCGACCGCAGGTGAGCCACCTGTCCCTCGTCTATCCCGGATGTATCCAGGTAGTAGTACACACCTGTGTAATAAGAACGTAGGAGACGGAAACCAGTTACGTAACAATAAGTATTATAGTACCAACACCCATTCGGCTTTTGCACGCTTCCCATAATTTTTAATTCTCGTATCATTTCCACAGCTTGAAATAGATGGGGTAGTCAATATCACATGTACAACATCTTGAACACTATAATATCTATACACGCAATACCCCCGAATACTCATAAGGGCAATGCTCTCAATAAGCATCCAGTGCACAGTTTGTTAATATCGGAATAGTTGAATTAGTCACGCGTTTCTTTTTTACCTAGAGTCACGTCATGTATGACATAACCAATATTATGATCAAATACGGCAAAACTTTATTATTTGACGGCAAAACACTATTATTTCACGGCAAAACTCCACAATTTGACGGCAAAACTTTATTATTTCACGGCAAAACACTATTCCTTCACAACTTTTATTTATTTGTTCAGTGAATAATCCCTACTGGTTCGAGCATAAAGCAAGTGTATATCTAAAGACGACACAATGTGCGAACGACTGCGAATTGTTGCACCTTTATTTTATAGGGCGGTTTCCTTATCTTGATTTGTTTTTCAAATTTGTCATTGTGTATGCCTCTCAATAAATATTGAGGTGTCCTTGACGAGGCTTAATTTATATAAATACTCGTAGTCAAACTGATAAGAGTTGATTATTTTTAATAATGTTACCACCCGTGTCCCGCCATGATGGATGGATAAAGTAGGCGTTACCATAAATCACGGCTACGTGCACGCCATAAACCACTCCAGCGCTCAGAGTAACTTTTTGACACATTGAATCAGAGGGGATTACAATTATGTGAGATGAGATGGGTCCCATTAATAATAATTATAAAATTATTAAGCATTTTTTTGTTGTTGTATTTATATTGCCATTGTTATGGCGGCATCCTTCGACCATTACCTTACCCTACCCAGACACGGGGAAATCTGATATGGCAAGACGTACGACGATGTTACAGTTAGCAAGCGTACAAATAGTAATATAATGCATACAACAAATTTTCAGATATTTACTATATCTTCATTAATTTTAACAAATAATATTTACACCATCAGTTGCTGTTTAATCAATTTTTCAGAGATTTTCTAATTTTTTCTTTCTTTCTTTTGTTGAATTTTAGTGTTTTAGTGTGTCTTATTTTATTTGTCTTTTGTAATAATTTTTTACCTTATTAAACCCAAAGATGGTTAAGTTGCGTAATAAAG